TCCATACGAGGTCAAAGTATACTTCGTGCATCCAAATATGAATACTTCAAAGTATTCATATATACTTCAAAGTATATATGAATAAACCTAAGCAACGCAGGTAATGCACAAATGATTATTTGTGCTTGCTTTATTCATCTTGTCCTTGCTTTATTAATTTTGCTTAACTTTATTCACATTTTATTTAACTTTATTCACTTTTTCAGCTTTGTTATTTTTTATTTTTTAAATAAGTGATAAGCTTGAAAGTTTTGATAATAAGCGTTATTTGTACAAGCGTAAATTATTATTTAAAAACTTTATTATACTTAATTCAGCAACATTCATTTAAAAAAACTTCAAAACTTCGTTCAAGGCTTTTATTAATTACTGTAATAAAAAACAAAACAAAAGATTTTAGATTATTATAATTAGTATTAATCTACTTTCTTTATAAGTCTGTGATAAATCTTGGTAAAATAGACATAGTTTTGCATATTTAATAATTGCAAAACCTTAATCTTGATGTCTGACACAAATCCATTGCCTTGTAATTCATTCCAGCGCAAAATCTCGTTGAATTACCATATAATAAAACTTTGCAAAACCTTCTACTTAAAAAACCCCGGAAATGTATTTAAGAGAACAAAGTTCTCGCCTACACTTTTGCTTTCAAAATCAAATTAGCACTAAAATTTCAACACAACCCTTCAGTGTAAACTAATACATAATTCATAAGCGCTGATCCCTCCATGCTAAGTACCCCATAAACAACTGATTTCCGATGAACGCTGTTGAAAACCTGCTGTTACACAGGAAAGCAGTAACCTTTTTAGATCTATCGAAAATTTAGATAATGGTCCAAAAACTTCAGCAACATCAAAAAGCTTCATCGGTATTTGAAAGAAGGTACCACGTATATAAATGTATACAGGTATAAATCATCCCTTGTTCTAAAATCGGAATTAATGAAGGCCAAGGCACTTTGAAGTACAATGTATTGATCTATTGAAAGAAAAGTTGCAGCTTGGCTGTTAGGAGTAGGGAAATTTGATTTTGTTTTTTTTCCCTATACCTACAGAACTTTGTTTTTATGGAGGTTAAATAATCCTTTGCCGAGCCATTTTTCCCTGGGATAAGGTAGGTGGAAGATATTACTTTTCTTGTAGTACATCGATTTAATGTAATCATCGATAGTTGGGAGTTTCTCATCGTTGCCATTAGGGAAGGAAATTTATTCATTCAATCATGGAGAGTCTGCTTTGATTAAAAGGAAACACGTTAATTTGATTTATGTTCTGATGCGAATAGAAATGAATTATTATTCTCTACTAACGCAAGTCTGGATAATAAGACTTGCGACAAAGAAATAATGTCCGATATTCCATTAGGGTAACATTAATTAATTCTAATCGATGCAGCAGAAATATTTTTTGTACTTTTTTTCTTCAGAAGCATAAGTTTTTTATTATCATAAAAAGATAATCAGCATAATGGTTTAGTTACATATTTAAATAAAAAGAATTTCCTGGCAGATATTTTAAACTGAATAGTAAATAAATATATAATTATTCGTTTCATTGAGACGTATAAAAATGTCAACTCCTCCTGCAACAGCCAGTTGTTGGCCAAGGAATTCATGAATATTTTGGTTCAATAATTTTAGGTGGACAACGACAACCTTTACTTCCCAGACAAGTGGTACATATTTATCTGATACTAAATGGACTTTATGCCAATGACTTGATAAAGCTAATTCCCTCACAAAGATAGCTCAGTACCTTTACCACTGTGCCATTATGACGTAATTTTGACATATACCATAAGATAAATTTTGACAAGTGTTACGAAAAAGTGTAACTAGACATATGTCACTTATTAAATAAATACTCCCAAAAAACTGAAGCTGTGAGATAATATCTAATTGAAAATTTCATTTGCTTAAGAAATAATAATATATTTGTTTTATATTTAATGATATATTTGTTTATTTCTAAGTGTTTGAAGTTTTCAATCAGGTGTCATATGTCACATATCAAAGTATTTAAATCGATAAATTAACTCCCAGAATTACAAAGAAAAAATCAACATTTGTGTTTAAAATATCCGAAATCTAACATTGGATCAGACCAAGATGAATCTAACCATTGACCAAGAAAAACTTTTTGACTCTAATAAGATCGGCTTAAAAAAGCTTTTTGTTAAAAAAAATTTTAATTCTTTTTACAAAATAATTGTAGAGGAAATTTTTTTAGTTCAAAAAAAAAAATTTTATGAATTTTTAAATTTTTTTAAATTTTTGTGAAACATTTAAAATTAAAAAAATTTAAAGATGCTCTTTAATACGGAAAAAATATAATCTTTTTTAAGAAAAATTTTGAAATTCTTTTTTGGATTGAATAATTCTGAGATTCTGAAATATTTGTATAAAACAACATTCAAATAGAAATATTTATATAAAACAGTAAAATAACCATGAATAAGATAATAATCAAACTGTTAACTGTGAGAAAAATTTTTTATCAATTGCTTCCACCTAATACCGCTGAATAAAAAGAATTTTACTGCACCAACTCAGCCCATTTAATAAAGCCATTTAGTTTCTTGCAAATGTTTACATATTATAACAGAGCAGGCTAATCTGGCCGTCTCATGACCGATAGAAGGGAGTTTTGAGTCACAATATTCCCCCATTCCCTTTAACACAAGAAGCGTTTCCAGCGTCCTGAACTCCTTAAGTTGTGTCTTGAGCCCTCCAATGCATTTTACCTAACAAAAAGCCTAGCTCCAATGTCCAGTTTAAATTTATTTATTATGGTATTGAAACCATGCCAGTTGTAAACGGTTACAAAACCGTAGAGTTCTGTATTCATGGTTTTATAACCTTACTAGTTGCAAACGGTTACAAACCGTAAAGGTAAAAAATGTTCTTTATCTTAAAATTTATGGTTAATTTGACGGATATACTGCTACTGGTTGTTTTACCGTAATTTTAGAAAGAAAATTCCATCGGTGCATGCTATAGTCATTAATACAATTTAGAAGTATTTTGCCTAATATTTGAACGTTTATGCATTCTTAGAGTTAAAAAAGTTAGATATAATATTTTCAAAACTATTTTTGATCTTATATTGTCTTATATAGAATTAAAGATCTTATATAGTATTTAAGCTACATTGAAATATATGTCTATGAACAACTGTCCTTAATGATTAATGATTAGCAATGCATAATTTTAATTAAAAAATTACTTAATAATCTTGTGAAATAATATTTTTTTATTTAAGAAAAATAAGACTAAACAATTCAATATATCATTCCATTTATTCTAGATAATTTTTGATTGTAAAAGTATTATTTACAACAACCATACAAACCAAATCAAACAACCATGCAAACCAAAACAACCATACAACAACCAAAGTATCATTTACAGCAAAATCTGAAAAATTTCATTAGAAAAAGTAAAAAAAATTTATTACATGAATTATATTTCCAATTCCTATAAATGAATTTTCGATTTTATAAGCTCAGAATAAAAGTTTAGCGGTGGTATTTGCATGATACGTGACAAATACAAATAAGAGCTAATTAACGTTTCATATCTTTATTGTGATTTTTAATTTCACTTATCTGATTACATTTCTGTAGTTATATTGAAACCGTGTTATGAAATTCCTGATTTTAATAACACTGAATGAAGGTTTTTCATCATCATCCTCATCATAATATAGTTTATGGAAAATATAATTAGAAATATTTTTAATTTTAATTTAATACCATTTATCATTTTTAAAATTAAAATAAACAACAATTTCACTAATCAAAATTTTAAAAACAATTATATACTCCTTAACTAGTTTAAATTTGCATCATTATTAGGATATTTACATTCCAGTAGATAAATAGTTTGAATTAAATGATAAAAATCCTGAATTTAGTTAAAGTTAAAAAAAGATTTACGATTATTATTATTATTATTATGAAATACGTTGAATAAACAATAATCACTCTTGTGTTGGTTATATTTTAGTAAAATACCAAACTTCTTGTTTTTAGTTAAATGATTTTTTAATGCTTTAAAAACGAAATGCGCGCATTCTTTCAACAATTTTTCTATTATTTAAAAAGGAAATTCTTTGCTCAAATTTCCAGTGAACACTTAACAATATTTTTAAAATTAGAAACCTTAATATCACTAAAAACTTTCCCTTATGAGTGTCAGGAATAGTGTTAGAGTGGGGTCAATTTTCAGGGTCATTTGATAAGTTTTTTAAAATTTAAACACATAATTTTCTTTTTTTTCGATCCATATGTGCATTCCTCGATCTTTTTATCTTCATTCCCCTCTAAACATCTCAAATTAAAATGATTTGAGCCTCAATTTTGTTTTACGTTTAGAGCTTTCTCTCTCTCTCTCTGAAAGAAATTAATGAAAAATTTAAAGTCAAATTGAAGTATTTTTCCAAAAAAATCCAAATCTGCAATAAAAAATTGATATTTCTGCACAAAAACTCTGATTTTGTCCTAAACCACACCCACAAGGGGGAGGTTGGCCGTCAATTTTGGTATCATAAAATAATTTTTTTGCAAATATTTTACACTCATATATTTTTGAATGTGTGTATTTTTCGAATTAGGAGGCATGCTTGACCATTTCTATGTTTTATATACATCTCGTATATTTATTTATAGTTCTTTTTCGTATTTTTACGAATATTTTTATAATCAACATCTTAAAATGAATTGAAACAAACAAATAAATAGTGGGGGACATATTTATTTAATTTTCAACTTTTTTCGAATTTCATTTTACTTTTACAAATATAATAAAATTTAATAAATTTCAATACAGACATTAGACTTCATTTATTGTATTTAAAAGGAAACTTTGGAAACAAAACACAAATATTTTTTTCAATTAAGCAAAACAAAAAGTGCTATATAGCGTATTGCCGTTTCTCTCAATCAGATAATTCTCCCCTCTGATTCACGATTTCTCCTCCCCACTTCCCCGGTCGTGTTGTTGTTTTCACTGCGGATTCTCTAGCAGGAAGCGTCAAACGCTATCTTTTTTGAATGACTTTACACAGAGCTCCTGCGATCTTGATTTGGAAGGAAAACATGATCGACACAGGATAGCTTTGATTCATGTATCGGAAGTACTATTTAGTAGAGGTAAGCACAACTCTTTTTCATTTACACATTTACATGGAAACATTGATTTCAAGTATGGCCATTGAACCGAGTGCCAGTTAGGCTTAGCGCGTTTTCGTTCGCAAATCCAATCGATACAGCTTAGATTCCATATGTTTAGTGTTTCTCAGCCTTCGTAATTTTGAAATGTTTATATTTAGAGTTTATTTTGAAAGAAGTTTGATTAATATTGCGATTCCTGAGCTCATTTGATTACATTTGGCTAAAAAATCAATAAAACTCTGATAGAGAGGAAGAAACGATCAATAAAGGAAGGAACGTATAAGCTATGACAGAGTAATATCAAACAGATTGGTGTCTTTATTTTGACCCTTATTTCTTTAAAAAACGTTATATGATAAAATCAAAATATTTAAACTCTAGAAAGTCAAGTAATTTTTTTTAATTTTTCTTAAAGATATTTAGAAGGTCTCTACCTATCTGAATAAATTGCAATATTTACTCGAAACATTTGGAAAAAATGTATCGGAATATTTATATTTAAATTACTGATGAATAAATAAAGCATAATGTATAAAAACTACTCTCATAAACATTATTTTGTATTTACTGATGTATATAATAACATGTAGCAAAATAATGGTAAAAAAATAATTGAAAACATAAACAAAGTATATGTTATAATGTACACATGCATTATTATGCTATTATTGTAGTAACTTGTATATAATATAGAATAATAAAATCTTCGGTGATATTCCAGTAAAATTTAGTAAATAAACTATAATTTGTATAAAAATGCTACGTAACAGTTCATTAACAGCTGTTTATAGGACAACATTTTTCTTCTTGGGAAGTCTTCTTATTATAAGATATAACATAATATATTGATGTTTTATAGTTATCGGAATCCAATAAAAGAATTTAAAACAGAAAATAGCACTAAATTTTTTATTGTTTTTTTATATACAGAATTATTTAACAATGCGTTCATAAAGTTGTAGGTTTATTTCTAGTAAATTAGTGAAATAAATTAAGCCATTTGTAAGTTTATTTTTACTAGATATATAGCAAAATGACCGTATCATTTTATAATATATAAAACTTTTTTGAATGGCTGTATGCTAAGATTCCATGCATATATTACTATACTATTGTAAAATAACGTATTTAAAATAACAGAGCAAAACTTGTTCAGTGATATTTAGAAGAAATTTAAAAAATAAGCTTAAATAAGCACAGATATATGCGATACAATCTCTAAACAACTGTTTATGAGATAATTGTTTTTCGATAAGAAATCATCTTATTTCTGGATACCACAGAATAAAGTAGCATTTTACAATTATAGAAAATCCTACCAATTTTTACACTTATAGGAGGAAAGCGCTTTTAAAATGATAGCTAACACACTGTATCATTAAATTCAGCGTTTGTTATTGTCATCTATAAAGAATTAATTGAAAAGAATTTCATACGATACTAAATTTATTTCTAGTAAATTAGTAGATGAAATGAAGCCATTGGCGAGATTATTTGTTCTATATATATTTAAAGCAAATGAATAGTTCCGATTAAGTCAATTCTGACCATATTTTTAAAGCGGAAAATTTAAGTTTTATTTTGTAACAAGCTGATTTTTACAAATGACTGAGTAAAATTAAGGCATTGACAATTTTAATTAATCAGTTTCGTTTTTTTTAAGTTAGTTGATCAAATTAAGTAATATCAGATTTGGAAGCAGAAAATAGGGAAGTTTATAAAATGTTAAGTTTACATACCCTTTCACCATATTCTTAATGTATATTTTTGTTATTTAGGAAAATTTAAAAAAAAAAGTTTTTATACATTTAGCTTTATTTCTAGTGAATTAGTAAATTAAATTAGGCCGGTAGAAAAAATTAATTTATTTTAGATATGCTTACAACAAAATTTAAGAACTAATAAAATCTTCTTATTACTTGTTTTTAAAATAACAATGAAAATACTTCATCACTAAACTTCTCATTCGTGTTATTTTTAAAGACATAATTATTTATGTAAAAAAAGAACTTTAAAATCAATAAAATCGAATTTGCTAAGATTTAAAAACACAATCTCAGTGTAATTTCTACTCTACACTTAACTGAATTGCTATGCATTTAGCATCAAAAGAAACATACCATCTTAAAGCTGATTTTTATTATTTTAGATGATAAATGACCTGACTTTTTGTGCAATATCTACACATATACAAAACTGTAACAGTTTTCAAAAAAAATTAAAAAATTTGGAAGATTCTAAAACAAAATCTTTTAAAAATTAAATAGAATACGTTAATTAGAAAAATTAATTAAAGAAAAATAATATTAAAAAATTTATCGCAAAAATATTAATATAATTAAAAGTATTATTAAATTAATTAAATAATAGTTATGATAATAATAAATCAATTAAAAGGATTAAATAAAAAGTCGGATAATGCATCAATAAAAGAATAAGATACAGAGAATGCGCATAATTAATGAAATATACGTAATAAAAGGTTTTTTAAATATATATTACTCTCTAATTTCTAAAAACAATTTCAATTTATTAATTATTTAAATGCAATTAATGTTTATATTGAATGTTACGGTAAATACTTTAAAAAAGGTGTGGTTAAAGAAAATAGAGGCTATTTTTTTTAATTAAAAATTGTTTGTATAAATCATATACGATTGCACAAAACACATGCTTTGAAATTTTATCCAGAAAAATACAGGCATAAAAAAGGTATTTATAAATTTCACAACAAAAAATATTGCATAAAAATCAGTTTTTAGAAAATATATAAGGAAAAAAAATCTGTCTGAAAATTTAATTGCAAATTGACAGTAAGAATAATGCTTAAGACAAAAAAGTTCATGGATTAGAATTGTTTAAAATAATTAGTGATTAAAATAATTTTCAAACTCTGCGCCATTAAAAAACTGTTTTACTCTTATTAAATTACTCTTATTACCAATTAAATTACCCTTATCCTAAAAGTGTGATTCAAGTTGCAATGAAAATTGGTAACAAGAATTTTTTAGGTGAGAATTTCTTAGAATTTCTCTCCAAGAGAGAATTTTTCAGGATCGATGAATCTTTAAAAAAAAATCGAAACAAATTATACATTTATTCTGTATTTTCATTTGGCTTGTACTTGGTTTTGTTTATCGATTTTAAAATTGAAAATGTAAAATTAAGTTGTAAAAATGATTTTTTCTTTCCCCACCCCCTTTCATATGATATTGCAAGTAAATCAATCCATAAATAATTCAAACACCACGAATAATTAGCAAGAACATGAATAACAAATAAGAGAAAATAATAACAAATACAAAATGTACGCCAAAGAAGAGTGTTATACTCAATGCGGTACAAGAAATTTTTACTGAGGATTCATAACGTTTTTAGGGTCTCAATATAATTTCAATTCGAAGCTCTCGATTGAACCCCAGAAATTTTTTTAAAACTAAAAATCGATTTCAATCGAAAGAGATATAAACAGATAATTTAATTATTCAAAAAAGACTAAGAAAATAACATTATTTTTCTGTTTCATATTTAAATTATATTATTCACTTTATTACCAGCTGAATACCTGTTCTTCGTACAAGGTGCAAAAAATTATACTATTAATAAATCAATACTGACTGAATAGCAATACAAAATCATACACAAAACTGAAAGACAATTGACAACAAAATTAATAACGCAAAAATGACTCTTTTTTTCATTTATTATTATTTTCAGTCTTTTCCAGTTGGCTTTACGTTATTAAATTAAGCAAATCACGTTTTAAGTTACAGGATGTTAGTTATGTCGTGTTATTTATGACGTGTTAGTTTCATCTTATATTTTATAGGATGTTAGTTATTCCTGCTATCAAAATAATCATTACCTATATTCAGTATCATTAATGTAGTTTTGATAAGCAGCAAATATATTAATTTTTCTTACATTAGTATATTTGGCATTGATTAAAATTGCTCCATTTACCAAAATACCGAAAGTGTCTATTACCAAACTTCATTGGCGTCAATAATAGTATGACAATTTTTTATGTTCCCCCTGAACGAATTAATATCATTTCTCCATTAATTTTGATTTTCAGTACACAACTTATTTTTTATTTCAATTTTTATATACTACCAAAATTAATGAAGCATCATTGGTGACAATAATAGCATAGCAATTTTTTTACATTTGTCTTAAGCGAATTGTAATCATCTCCTCTTTAATATTGCTTTTTAGTATATAGCTTATAGTTTTATTATTACTCATTACTTATTACCAAAATTAAGTAAATTAAGGAAACTTCAATAATAGTATGGTAAATTATTACTATTCTCCTAAACGGATGAGTACCTTTTCTTCATTAATTTTGCTGTTTAAAACGTAGCAACCCCAAATTAACTAAGCACTATGGGTATCAATAATAGTAAAGCGGCTAACTGCGCCTTTCTTAAATGAATTAGTCCCACTTTTCCATTAATCTTTCTCTAAATAAATAGCTTATTTTCTATCCCAATAAGTAATTTATACCAAAACTAATCAAACATCATTGATATCAATAATAGTAGGACGGACGATTTTTTACCTTTCTCCTGGACGATTTAGTTCAATTTCTCCAGTAATTTTGTTTTACAGTACAAAACCTTTTTTTACTTCAAATACCATTGATTTTAAATAATTTAGTTTTATAGAGATATGTTTCAAATGCATGGATTATAAAATATTAAATATGTGGTTATTGCTTAAGAAATTTTAATATAGTGACGTAGTCTGTCTATGCTACCACGCCCACAGTTGAGCATTGAACTTATTCTGACATAACAAATAATTAACGAATATATACATATATATATATATATATATATATATATATATATATACATATACATATATATATA